GAACAAGGGTCAGGACCCTGAACAACGGCCATCTGCAAATAGCTGAACAAGGGCCATCTGCAAATAGGACCCTCTACAAGGGTCAGGACCCTGAACAAGGGATCTGCAAATAGGACCCTCTACAAGGGCAGGACCCTGAACAAGGGCCATCTCCAAATAAGACCCTGTACAAGGGTCAGGACCCTGAACAAGGGCCATCTCCAAATAGCACCGTACATTTCCTGAACAAGGGTCGGGGATCTCAGCCACTGCAATTTTCAAATAGGACCCTGACTAAGGGCCTATGCCAAAGATGCAAGTGACCGTCAGTTTGGGCCTTCAAAAATGGTCCGGCGCCAAACAGGACCATTTTTGCGGTCAACCGAGACACTGCCCGTAAACAGGGACCTGTCAAGCTTCATCCTTTGCTTCAGACGGTCAACATGGCTCTGCATGTTTTAAGTTATGCAGTTGCTTCTAGCGATGCATGGCTTGTTTGGGTTAAAGCCACCATCTGTTATTTGAGGTTTTCGGGTGAATGATTTGAAGTTGGGAGCTTTTCGGGACCGCTGGGATGCAAAGCCTCTGCTGTATGACGGCTACGAGACTGTAACGTGTCAAGTCTGTCTCGGCGTTCCTCTGTTTAAGCCTGGACGATCACAAGTCATGAGTTGATGTTCCCAATTTGAAGGCCTTGAAGAATACAGACTTCAGTGTTTTGTGACGTAATTGGGCATGCACAAAAAATCTTTGACCCCGGAAGCCGGCACGAATCATTCTGACTAGCCCTTCGGCCCCATTGGATCTTGAAGCTCCTCCCCATGCCATCGAACAACAGTGTGTATGCGTTAGGAGGACCCCCCACCCTGTAATAGTGGCATAATAGGGATATAATAGGACCCTAATGTATTCCTCATTATCCCTTATAGTCACTATTACAGGGCGGGGGGTCCTCCTAATGTATGCGTGTTTGGGCAGGTGAGGTCCACAAAGGACAGCATCCCAGATTCTAAACTGTCAACCCAAGTCCCTTCACCTCACACCTTACCCTAAGGGTCCAAGTACCCAATATTTAGGTACTTGGGAGTTGGGTAATAGGAATTATAGTACAGATTGTGGGTAAGTATATGACTATTGGGTACTTGGACCCTTAGCTTAAGGGTCCAAAGACCCAAATACTAGGGTTTTAGGGCCCAAATACCATTAATATTAGGGTACTGGGGTCCTAACACCCTAGTATTTGGGTCCTTGGACCCTTAGGGTTAGGGTTATACCGAGTTGAAAGGCGATGGGGCCTCGACGAAGTCCGTGTGGATTGGTTCCTGGGGTGCTCGGCCTGTGCTAGGAAACCTCTTTGGCCCTCAATCGGTTTAGGGTTTAGGGTTCCTCAAAACGCTTGTTCAGATTCCTATCATTGAGCTACGCGGATTAGGGTTCAGGGTTTTAATAGACCCTACAGTCGGACCCTGAAGTCGTAACAATCTTGCGGTTTTGCTTGCCCACACTGCGGAAGTAGAAAACGGGAAGTCGTAACCATCAGCGGTCTCACTGGGGATTTGAGATTCTGGAATCG